AAGCCCAACGTTCGCCGTCTAGTTAACGTCACGCAACTGTGTAAGACCATCTTGCCTAGTTAACCATGTTTCCACTACTGACTGCTTGAAGACTTCCTAGACTACTACTTCGACCTGCTCACTTATGTCGGCGCCAGACAGTCACGGCTAAACGCCTTTAAGGCTGAGGTACCAGCGCCTCCGGAAACTGACCAAGAAGAGTACAATCAGTTGTGGCAAAGGTACACCGGCAGAGAGCGAGCAAATCTCCGCAAGCGTCGTATACGCCTTCGACAGGGTGACTTCCAAATCCTGACCCAGGTTGGTCAAGGAGGCTACGGGCAAGTGTTCTTGGCCCAGAAAAAGGATACCAAGGAGGTGTGCGCCTTGAAAGTCATGAGCAAGAAGTTGCTCTTCAAGCTGGACGAGATCCGCCATGTCCTCACGGAAAGAGATATCCTTACCACTGCCAACAGCGAGTGGCTCGTCCGCCTCTTGTACTCGTTCCAAGACGACAAGAATATCTATCTTGCCATGGAATACGTACCTGGTGGAGACTTTAGAACTCTCCTCAACAACACCGGCGTCTTATCCAACCGTCATGCTCGCTTCTATATCGCCGAGATGTTCTGCTCCGTGGATGCACTTCACAAGCTGGGCTATATTCACCGAGATTTGAAACCAGAAAACTTCCTTATTGATTCTACGGGCCACGTCAAACTAACCGACTTCGGCTTGGCGGCTGGCAATGTTGCATCTTCAAAGATCAATTCGATGCGTATCAGACTCGAGAAGGCTTCCGAGACAACTGTACCGTTTGGTAAAGCTATGGATAAACGAACCGTGGCAGAGCGCCGAGAGGGTTATCAAACCATGCGTGAGAGGGACACGAATTATGCGAAATCCATAGTAGGATCACCAGATTACATGGCTCCGGAGGTACTCCGCGGCGAGGAGTACGACTACACTGTCGACTATTGGAGCCTGGGATGCATGCTATTCGAAGCCCTCACCGGATTTCCTCCCTTCGCAGGTTCTACGGCCGATGAGACGTGGCATAATCTGAAGCATTGGAAAGAAGTGCTTAAGCGACCGGTCTGGGAGGATCCGAACTATTTCTTAAGTACCCGTACCTGGAACTTCATCACTACGTAAGTTTTGTGCGAGTATTACAGTGAAAAAATAAGGCTAACCAGCTCTAGGTGTATCAATTCGAGATCCAAGCGGTTTTCCAATATTAAGGATATCTTCGAGCATCATTATTTTGCCGAAGTAGATTGGAACACGCTGAGAGAGTCGAAAGCCCCGTTTGTACCCGAGCTGGATTCGGAGACGGACGCCGGGTACTTCGATGATTTCACCAATGAAGCTGATATGGCCAAGTACAAAGAAGTCCACGATAAACAACAGGCTCTTGAAACCATGGCCGATCGAGAAGAGCAGATGGGCAAGGGCCTCTTCGTTGGATTTACGTTCCGTCATCGAAAACCTACCACGGAGGACGGCAGCCCACGGAAGCGGATCCAGACTGACGAGACGTTTGGCACGATGCTCTAGGGTAGGCGTCCGCTGTCTAAATTCAAGAGGCAGTGACCTGCCTCGTTTTAGGTTGACAGTTTTGTTGTTCGCCGCCACATGATATCCACATGATTTGATGGCGATGGGTAGTTTTTAGACAATACCCAAGATATCGTCACACGATAACGTGGTTAATGCCACATTTTCTTTGTTTTTCGGTCAGTGGCTCCTCGAGGAGCTATTTATTGATTCCAAGAAGGGCGTTTTCAGGTTTTATGCATATTGTGTTAGGAGTTTTATTGAGGGGGTTTAATGGAGGGTATACGCGTCTAATCCCAGCACGGTTTGTTCCGAGGGAAGCCATAGGGCTTCGACGTCGAGAGGCAGGGGAGTAGCACCAGTCGTGTACAACAGTGTCGCAATAGACTGGTTTTATTTCAGCCTCAGGTATAGCCTACTATGTACCATCTTTGGTGCCCTGTTAAATTTTCTGTCCCGATGAGCATATGCTTACGTCTTCAATATTGAAACGTCGAAGTTGATCGGCAGACTACACGTCAGTCATCGATATGGACATTCCAGGCTTTCTATAATGAAGAAGAAGCTTGCTTTCAGGTGCGTAAAAGCTCGATTTTACAATACTGTTTGTTACCTAATCCAAATTCAAGTCGGGCTTTGAAAGAGAAAATATTCGGCATGAAATAAATAAGGTTAAATCTTGTCTAAAAATACAAGAGAGCAGTAAGCAAAGAAACTCGCGTGATTTCGGTACCGGAAAGCTGCCAGACTTGCCCATTTGAGGACTACCAGACCACCGAGATCACCGCTAATTGGTCATAAGTATGCTTCACCAAGCTCTCGGACGTCCCCAATGCTTAACCCCGCGCAAACAAGCCTCCATTTACAAGGCACAACCTGGCACTGACGAAGCTTAATAGTACCTACTTAGCCACCTAGTTCCCGGTAGAGGAGAGTGAATGATCGAATGTGTCCACGGTTGATCTAGGATCGTACTATGTATACCGTCATGCTATGTGAACTAGGTGTGGGAAAGTCGATCGACAAGTTGCCTTGCATTCAGTTGCCTTAGACACAGATTGGCTACTCCTCACGGCGATATACTGCGTGTCGGTAGGCCGAGCATGGGCGATTACGACTCCTACGGTACCGGCAAGCCTGAAGCTAATACATAGGTATAGCCAGCCCAGCTTACGCGACCTACATAGTACGTACGTCGTGGCTCTTGTCGGACGGCATATCCCGAGCCGGTCCTCCACCAACCACGTTCACGCTGTCTTCCCCAGATATGGTCGTACATAGACGCCATGTATCTATTCTCTTCTCTCGCGGGCGGCGAGCTGCTGCGTGGACGCGCGGCTTCAGCTGGGCTCACGCGTGTAGGATCTGCAACTAGGGAGAAAGGTCTTCTGGAAGCTTACATGTCCCGCCGCGAAACTCAGCCCGAACTTGTCCTAACCTTATTTTTTTCTTCTTTTTTGCATCTCTTTCCTTTTTCCCATCTCCGCCCCCGAGCTAAGGTTTGTAGGTATGTATGTAGTAGCCGAGCCAATGTTCGCAAGTGCGTACTTGGAGAGGAGAGGAGATGATCACACGTGCCGAAAATTAAGGGTACTTGGACAGCAAGCAAGCAAGCAGACAGACAAAGATTGGTAGGCGAAGGCGAAGGGGAGGGCGATGACGAACGGTCTTCGCAGCCCTGGTGTTGGACACGCTCGTCTTGGTTACGTGATGGCCCTTGACATACATGACACAAAAGTCTCGACTGCTGATCCATCCGGCCTTTGTTCGGCTACCTAGAGCTAGCTACCTACCGGGGAGAGAAGCATATAAGTATATGCTCTCGTGTTTTTTTCCTCGACTCTGTATGCTTTCTTCGGTTCTTCCTATCTCCACGTGTGCTCGAAGGCTTCCTGGCATCTTAGAGTAAACACTGTTGGTCTTGGAATATAGAAAGTAGATATACATTCGTTCGTACATACATACATACATACCGCTTATACGAGTCCGCTTGGGGAAGATGAAGACATCAACCGTCGCCATCGTCTTGGCACCTGCGGCCGCTTCTGCGCAGTGGTGGAGAGGCGCTCCGGGTTGTGCTGTGAGTTCTTCTCTTTCTACTCTCTTGCCTGCTCCTCTAGTCCGCCTGCTCACTATACCCCTTCCCTCCTACTGTATACGCCCTCCCTACTTTACCCATTCCCTATCTAACTACACTCCTTCATGTGCTATTCAGCCCAACCCACTAACATTCCCCCCCTAAAGCAATCTTGTCTCTCCACTGCCTGGTCTAGCTCCACCGCCACCGTAACCAGCGACTGGCCCGCGCAGTCCGAGTACTGCGACTCGGACCACGGCAGCAGCATCAACTCGTGTATCAGCAGCGCGTGCGCCACGTCATCCTCCTCCACCGCCTTCGAGTCCTACACCTCGCTCTCCAGCTCCCTGTGCTCCCGGTACTCTGAGTGTACGTCCGCCGGTAGCACTGGCGTCCGCACAGTCACGTACTCGGGCGGACCCGTCACCTGGGCTGCGCCAGGAGGCTGGGGCGGCGGCGCAAAGGCGTTTGGCGGCCCCTTTGGCAACGACAACGGGCCCCCGAACGCGTCGGCTATTTCGTCCGCGGTCGACTCGTATAAACAGTATTGGAGCGAGTGGGCGTCGGCCTTCCAGTCGTCGCGCACGTGGACCGGTGGCGTGGCTACCGTCACGGGCTGCACGTTCGACGGTTCCCCGTGGTATGTAGGGCCTGGATGTGGTTGGAACGGGGTAGGCGGGTTTAACGGTTGGGTTGGTTGGGGATCGGGCTGGAGCTGGGGACCGACGACTACGGAAACAGTCACATTTACGACTACTGATACCGCCGGCGCTACGATAACTGGGACGGGACTCGCGGCTGTGGCGCTGGCCGTGAGCGGTACGCTGACTACGTCTACGACGCTGGGGACGCCAACGGCGACGGTGGGCACAGAGAGCGGTGCGGCGCCGGTGGGGATGGGACCGGGTGCTGAGGGCTCGGTTGTTACGGGTATGATGGGGATTGCGCTAGGGGCGATATTGGTTGTTGCTGGTATGCTATGAGGGAACTTATCTTTATCTATATACCTCTTGCTGGATATAGGGGCTAGGTTTGCTTAGATTGGTCTTCAGAAGGCATGTCTACGTGAGCTTCATTCCTTTCGGATTGATGAGGGAAATGAGATGGCGTCTTGGGTATACGAATGGAGTTTTGCTACTTTGATAGGTATAATACAAAATGAGGCGTTTAATGTATGGAGCTACTTATAATGCGATAGGAAGAAAAATGATTAATGATTACCTACGCTTAGACTACGTGAGAGTGGTCAGTTTAATGTGGAATTAAGTATATCGATTTCTTCTGTAGTGGTTTTTCATTACTAGAGATCTAAGAAAAGGGGAAGAAGTATGTAGAACACAACGCATGATATTGTTGGCTTTGCTACCTACGGTACGCTACGCTACGCCTAATTCTCATCATCTGATGGGAACAGAATACTCGTCCCAACCGTATTCGTCGATACAGGCGAAATTTCCGGTCCTTTTGCCTCACCACTGCCGTTGACAGGCCAGTCTTCTTCTTCTTCTTCTTCTCCCACCGTGTAGATCGTATCCCTGTTCGATCGAGAGTTAGATTGTCCCGCGGGTGTGCTAGGCGGCAACAGCTGCATTCCCGCTTCTCCTATTCCTTCTCCGCTCGTTTCCTGTCCAGTTCCTACTAAGCCTTCTTGTCGAGAATCCTGAAAATCCCTCTGCGTTCGCGGTATCGTAGGGGAGTCCTTCAGCGGTGGCGCTAGTGTTCCCGAATCCTGGCCCGCTGGCCCCACGAGCCCAAGGGGTAATGCCGTAGGCAATGCGGCGGCGCGAGTACCCTCTTTCTTCTTGCTATCATCATGCTGGCCAAGACTAGCCTTTACCCTCGACGCGGGCGTAGGAGTGAAGTGCACCGAGTCAAGAGCCCGCTGCTGCTGCTGTCGTCGAGGCGGCGTAGGGGGCAGCGGTATAGAAGGAGGTCCGCTGGCCGGTGGCTGGAACGTCGTAGATACCTTGCGCCTGTGCCAAGCACGATCACCAAGGGTGGCTTCGGGACGGGCAGCCGGTGTTGGGCTCGACACGCTGGGCTTGGCGTTGAAATCGAAATTGAACTGGCCGGTGGATGCTGCCGACGGCGTCAGGGGTTTCAGGGGATTTCCTCGCCACTGGACTGACGAACTTGTTGCGGATGGAGGCGGGCTGGATGGCGAGGGGGTCGCTACTGGCACAGAAGGGCCGCCGCGGACTTCGTCCATTAGTTTGTTGTACAGGGTGTCACTTTCAGAGGTTGGCAATGAAGCTGTCGTGAGACGCGCGGAGTGGTCAGGATGACGGAGACGGGTGCCGGACTCGAGAGCGGGTGTGGAGGGCATGAAGTATGCGCCGTCTGTTGATGCGCCGGTACTTAAGTCTTCATCCCTTTTACCATATCCACGTCCATAGCCGTCCCCGGCGACAGGTCCGGTTCCTTTGTTCAGATCATGAAGTTGATGTCCCGTAGTATCGATCGCGCTTGGGACTGGTCGTCGCGGGGGTTGCTTGTCATTGTCCTCGTGCTGCTCCTCAGGTATAACTATAACCTCTTTACGTGCGGCCTCCTGGAGCTTCTTCCGCTTATAGGCTCGGACACATAGAACTATGAACGCTGCTAGGATGATGGCGCTCGAGACACTACCTGTTATCGCGGCTATGGTAGGCCCGGTGGTTGGCGCATCAGGAGGATCTGATGGCGTTGAAGATGGAAGAAGTGATGACGAGGGTATGATTGCCTTCCCTGATGTCTCCTGTGAATCTCCTATGGTTTCGGTTCCTGTAGGCTCTAGGCCATCTGTAGCTTTGAGAGCCGCACTCGTATCGACAGTGGAAGATAGTGAAGTTCCTGTAGGGGTGTTCCCGCTCTCGTCTCCTTTCTCATCGCTCTGGCTGCTATCCTGGGTTTTGGCATGACTTGTAACCTTGTCGCTCTCGCTAGCAAGAATGAGAGTATATACGGCGACCGTATCCGCTCCTCCACATGATAGCCCTGAATCGCCGGTACAAGGCATGTTGCAATCCCCAAGAGTAAGTTTACGAGCTTCTGCCACAAGTTTCAATCCGCAGAAGCACTCTCTGGTACCCGATTCATTAGTATCACGTATAGGTACAGGTAGAATAGCTTGGAGATTGCTAGTAACGCAGCAGGGTATGATCGTTTACCTTCCATTACTCAGTCCAACAAGTCCATAATGATCAGAAGTCTTCTTTGGCGGGTCCAACTCGTCACAACCTTCAAGGCAAGCCCGTATCGTGAACTGGTCATCAGGCACCGTAGTGAGGACTACATAGTCCCCTTCTTTTCCGAAAAGATTTCCTTCCCGGTTGCCGGCTCCGGCCCCGGCCCCGGCCCCGGCCCCTCGTCCGTAGCACCCTAATAACGAATACATCGAATCTGGTGGTGCTGCAGCAGGGTTGTATGCTATTGTTGTTGTGATCGTGATAGTTAAGTGGACGATGGGTGGACCTAGTATTCCCAGTTCTGAAGTGCTTCCACCTGTCCATTCATTGTCACATCTTGATTGAAAGAGTAGACCAGTCCATAACAAAGTTTGAAGGCAGGTCCGCTTAAAATTAAAGTCTGCCGAGACTATCGCCAACATCGTCCTGACGATGTATGTTTATTTTGCAATGAGCCATTATGCCTAAGTGCCCAAGTAGAGCAGCATATTCCATAAGTTCCCGTCAGTCCCCATCGCCGTTGAGTTGACCCATACACAAAGGGACCGTTGACAACACTAAGTCGAACAAAGAGCCTTGCCTCGCTTGCGGCTTTGTGAGGCCATTTTGATCAATTGAGAAAGCCATTTCTCATCAGCAGGATTAAGCCTCATAGCTTAAGAGTTCCAATCTTCACCAATCTTACCACAGGAGTGAAACTCTTATTCGGTGGCTCTCAAAGCTAATAGCATGGAGGAAACAGTATCAACAAGAGGATCTAAGACGGAACGACAAAGATGGATGGCTTAGCAGCTTTATGAGATTGAATAAGGCTTAGGACACGCAGATGTCCGTGTTCACATTCCTCAAGATAAGGCAGAGATTGCGTGATAGGGGGAGATAAGAATAGATCGACAAGAGGGAGAGACTCTTGCTGAGACCCCTACCGCTTCGAGCAATCTGGCGGTCGAGTTGTCATAGATATCTCTATCTAGATCTACCCCAGATACGCCGCCAACTATACTCATGCATATGTGTGTCTACCCCAGATACGTATGTCAGATATCCAAGGACAAGATAGATTCAATCATGGCTGATGTTTCTCAAGCTCAGATAGGAGCTGGGATTTACTTTTTTGGTGGAGCAGGACCTTGATGGCGCAATTAGACGACATTCTGACTTGGATTTGCGACTTATTATGTAACAAAATGCCCAGTAGCTCTTGTGACATGTTACCTAAAACAATATAAATTCTATGCCTATCCCATCTAGCTGAAAGCTAAGACTCTGAAGCTCTGTGCTATCTGGTGAACTTCTAGAGTAATGTAGAGTAACAATAGAGGGCTGTATAACCCCTGGTCACCTGCCTCATTCGAACGCCCATCAGAGATAGGCAAATGTGGTCACTTACAAGATACTCAAGGAGGAGGACTCAGATCTACCGTCTATATCTTTTAGGAGGCCCCCATTTCGTCAGACAAACGTGTTCGACCTCTCACGCATTAAGCTTACCAACAGCTCTCATTGCCAATGCCGTGGACGATAAGGGAAAGTCGTATACAAGTTGGAGTTCGCTGTCGCATTATTTACACGCCCGCGATGATTGGTCAATGGTTCGACTATTTGGCGCGGGGTCTTACTTGAGGGATCAGCGTTTGCGGTGACGCTCGAAGGAACGACAAACATCACCCGCTCGAAGCCACTCCATGCTTGTCTGACGAGAAGCAGGAGATGATGGGTAGCACGACATCATTCTTACGCGGGAGATCACTCAAATAGTAGCCAGATGACCTCACCATCAACCGGGCGCTTTTTCTTCCCTTAACCCCATCTTGATTCCTCGCTGCTACTTGAACTCGACATCACCTTTGCCTCCCCCCCCCGCGCCTAGTGGACCAGCTGACGACCCTGCCGCGTCTCTCCCCCTTGGGAAACCCCCACGCCGAGTCATTTCGTTTATTGGACGACCCCGGTCTAGCTACGAAGCTGTCGGCGGCTAGAATGGGAAACCGAGGCCGGCTACACGAGGGAAGAAAAATTGAAAGAAGGAAAAGAAATTTTCCAAAACCCGGAAAGGATGCCTGTTCACGTGGTTTTTGGCCTTTTGTGTGCCTATCCGTCTCGGTCAAATACTTCAATGCCTGTTCTGCTTGCATTGGGTGTTTGCCAACACTAACCAGTTCTAGACTGTTCAAAAATCGGGCCGCCTGTTCGTCTTTTGCCTCTGGAAATATCTTCAAGTCGGCTGTCGAACTTCCGAGCGCAGCCGCGGGGACATCCCCTAGGATTTACAACGCCTCGGGCCGGGAGTAGGAAATGCCAAACCCGGGGGAGGGAGGACGAAATCCAGAAGGCGGTCGATTTAGTACCACCGAGATCACCGGGAGGGACCTAGAACCTAACCTCTTAACCTAGCAGTTCGGTACCGGATTCTAGTATGTAAGTGCTGAAGTGCGGTTGTTGGTAGTTTGGCACGAAGTCTCGCTGAAATACAGAGTATTGATTGGTGGTAAGCACTCGGTCTTTCTCAACTGTACTATTGGTTCTACGCCTCCATCGTACTGTATTTGTAAATCATCCCTGTGTTCAAGAGTCCAACAGCTCGGTAAGACTAGACTCTCTTAGGTGTGACTTATTTACAGCTGGGTATAGCACAAGCTTAGTTAATATAATGTCATCATACTCCTCACCTTAAGTAACCTCTACTATGTATGTAACAGCCCACGATGACCTATTTCGGTAGTGCAGCCGAAGCAGAGGGCCTGGATAGGCTCAACTTTACCTTCGCGGCAACTACCGGCCCTAGTCTGGACCAAAGAACCAGTGGAATCGATTTTGATTACATCAGGTGTGTTATACATACCATGCGGTATACTACATAACTGATAAGGCCCCCCTGGGAACGAAGCCGTCATTAGCAATTGAGGCTATTTTGGACAGTCGACCCACTCCGCCGGGTTTTCAGGGTCCTAGCAAGTTCACGAACTTATGAGATGCAGGACCTGCCTGGTCTAGTGTAGTTGCTCCTTGAAGCACTCCGTGATATTGCGCTACGACAAACGTGGCGATCCCGAATTGCAAGTTGCGACGGTCGCATATTGGGAGAGAAACACTTGTACGGATTATACGACCTGCCTTATGAGAGTTGCAGACAAAAAGGGAAATATATGAGAAGCCGACTTCGAAAGCTTCTGTTACAGCGAATCTGCATGATTCCAGACGCAGCCAAGTCGTCGAATGAGAGACATTGAATAGACATCAAATATATTAATAAGGATATGCGATAGTCGTTATAATAGGCGCTATATTTATGGTCCCATCTTACTTACACCGGGGATGTAGGTGGAGGGTATTGGTACTATGTATGTAATTTCAAGGATTTGACATGTGACAGAGTTCTGGTCCTCAATATGCATCTCGACTTGCCGTTGGGCGTCTAGACAGGGAAGTGACACGACGCGGTAGCTCATATCCCACACTTTAACGATAAAAGCTGTTATGCATGTATATATTGCAGTAGGAATTTAATTCACCTACGAGTGTCCGGGTTCCAAGTTCCTGCTGTTGCGCAAGAGAAGGCGGCGATCTACGCCTTGGTCTTGCAACGCTGAAGATTCCAGGCTCGATCCTAATCTGATTCTGAGATGATGACTGGCTACCCTACCAGCTAGCCCACTACCAGCCTCTTCTTCAGGTGACGGACGAACTTGACCAATGCAGCTAACGATCAACTGAGGGGTGTCCCGGCCCACTACCACGCGAACGAAAAGTAACCGTTAGACCTTAGCGGCTTCACTAAAGGACTTAGCCATGACAATAATGGCTAGCGAGTTAGCGGATGGTTTCGTCATTATCGTTCCAAACGACGGGGAGCCGGAACCATCCTCCAAAGAGGCTTGTGTGAGAGGAAAGCCGCGAGGCTGAGTGAGTGTTCTTTTCTGCCGTGTTGGTTAGGCCGTTATTTATCGAAAATGGGCAGCATTGAAGTTAAGAGAAAAAGAAAAAAAATTGAAAAAGAGGGCAGTACCAATGGGACATCAGATATGGCCATGGTATAAGAGAGACGCAGGTTCATACGAGATCTGTTGACCAAAAATAGAATGAATGCTGCTGGTATGGTGGAGTTCGTAATTCAACTACATAGTATGGTAGCGGACGGCTATTAAGCAACTCCAGTAGTGTATGTACTGAAGCAACTCATGGTCAGTAGTGGTGTACCGCGAGCTTGTCAGCTTTAGATGATCCATTAGCCACGGTCTCTCGCTTGCTGTCTCCTACCACACTTGGTGAAAGAGAGGCTTGAGTGGGGATTAAATGGCCTGTGGGCTGGGCCCTTGCTTGACTTGTCTTGCGACATCTTGTCAGGGTTCGTACAAAAAGTGTGGGGGTTCGTTCATCTGGTCCATGTAAGACTAGTGTAGTGTATTTGACCCTTGTTCTTCTAACCCTTGGTCCTTGGCTCGACCCTTGGCTTGGACCGCATTGCGCGTCCCGCGTACCCTTTACTTTACCGGTACAGAGCACAGCTCTCATCCGTTGCGAACCCTTTCCCACATCTGCAAAACTGTCGAGGTGCAAAGATGCTGTGACTGACCTGGTCCCTTCGACATCGGAACTCGCTGGCCCGGTTCTAGATCGCAAGCTTAATCCCCTCTTAAGGCTCCGAGTCCGACTACATATCGGACCATAGTATAGGCTAGTGTTCAATCTTGTGCTAGAAATCTTCCGTTTCACGTAGATACCAACGAAGGATTTTTTATTTTGTTTTACCAGGACACTTCCAAGTATCGCGGAGACGAGACGAAGGAATATTTGATGTTGTCCATGTGATCTTTTCGTCTTTTACCGTGTGAGCTATCACTCTCAACAATGGGAACCCCCACCTCGGTGAAATTCTCGCTTCTCGACGGGATGACGACCTGTCTCCCTAAAGACGACGTTGCTGTAATACATCCCGCGGCGGGCGTTGGAAAGTGTTGGACCTAGCGGACCGAGGGGACGTCGGTTACTTAAGTTAGAACGTCTAGAGCTGCCCATGTAGTTTGAAGAGCCCGCTAGGTTAAATAAATACATTGAGAATCAATTCGCGCCATCTATGCTTGCTTCTATGCTGCTTGGTCATCCTGAGGCTGGTGACACAACCTCATGCACAGTTCTTTGCCGTCGAATTGGAAAATGGGACACCTTTCCAAGTTACCCTCCTACATTATTAATGGACAAAGCCAACACCATCAATGGATGACAGTACGCTTTTAGAAATGAGCTTTGCAATTGCGGCTTCGGAGCTCAAGCTTGCTAGCCGCCCATAGGCCATGGCAAGTATGAGTGAGACAAGAGTTGCTATCCCCATCCCCGTGTCTTTGTGAGTATAACGCTCGAGTCTCTAAGCCGTCCGTAGGACATCTTCTTACCGGCTTTTCCCGAGACCCATAAAGACTCCTTA